GCACCAGCAAATCAAGAAAATCTTATAGCTGAAGGCATCACCCTCGCATTCCACTGAGGCAGACCTGTCGCAGACATCTTTTTATGAAAATCCTTTCTTAGGATTTTTGATTCCTGAGAAGCTGAGAGGCTCCAGGAACAAAATGTAAACAATGGTTATCTGCTGCTGTGGGATGCAACAGGTGCATCAGTGATTGGTCTCGTGTGGATGTTTGGATTTAGTGACCACTCACAGCAGAGCTGGCTCTCTCTCTCTCTCTCTGTCCGAGCCAGCTGCCTTTGTTATCACTCTATTCTATTCTATTCTATTCTATTCTATTCTATTCTATTCTATTCTATTCTATTCTATTCTATTCTATTCTTACCTAAGCTAGCCTTCTGAGATGAAACCTTTCCTTCTATTCTTTTAGTGTAGTTATAATGTAATATATATATCATAAAATAATAAATCAAGCCGCCTGAAATATGGAGTCAGCTCTACCTCTCTTCCCTCATCCTGAAAGCCCCTGTGAACACGGTCACACAGACCCAGCTCTGACAGCACACAGAGATGCACTACATATGTAACACATGGCACTACTGCTATCCCATCTTCCTTACAGACATTATTTAAAGCCATCAAAAGCTTTTTCATTCAGAAGAGTTTCAGAGAATCAGAGAACGGTTTGTGTTGGAAGAGACCTTAAAGATTATCTAGTCCAAGTCCCTGTTATGGGCAGGGACACCTTGCACAGGTTTGCTTCTTTGTGGTCAAAGGCCTCGGAGCCAAGAGGATGTTCTCATATCCAGGGAGAGGAACTTTCTGTCTAAAGATCTGCTCTTGTTCAACCACCAGTTGAAAGCAGAAAGTCCATGTTGGGTTCTCTACCCACCACCATGACAGCCTGACCTCACACAGCTCCTCCTGCTCTCAGGGATCAGTAAAACCTGCTGCTTCTCCCCATCCATACCCCTCCTTGCTCTGAGGCACAGCCACCACCCCGTGAGATACCTACAGAATGTCATTGAGCTGCTGGAACTGCTCCATGGCTTCAGGGCACCAGCACTGCTCCCTCTTGCTGCTGCAGCCCGCGCAGAGCTGGGCCTCTCCTCCGCCCTCCTCTGGGTCACTCTCCTGCTCGGTCTCACTCATGCTGCTCTCACACTCGTTCGTTCCATCCTCTCCTTTCTTCCACTGCCGCATGTATATCCTGAATGTGCGGCTGTAGAACTGCTGGATCATCTCCTGGAAGGATTTGGTCGTGGAGAAGAAGAGGATAGCTTTGAACATGGTGTAGACCTTCTCCTGCAGTGTCTGAGCACCTGTGCCCAGGAGCAGGCCTGCCTTGGTCCAGTTCTCCAGGAGCTCCAGGCTGTTCAGGTAGGGCTCCAGGCGGCACTTGAGCAGACTGAAGGCGTCCAGGAGCAGCGCAGCACACTGGGGCTCCTCGGCCGTGTTCTCATACTGGCCAATGCAGTTCCAGAACTCGGGGGCGATATTCGCCTGCAGGTCAGTCTGCAGCACCTCGATGAACCACTCCTCCACGATGGAGTGCAAGTCGTAGCACTGCAGCACGTCCAGGGCTGCCCGGAGCTCGGCATCCTGCAGCGGCACGGCAGCTTCGGGCCTCGGGGCTGCCTGGAAAGCGGGGGGAACATGAGTTAAGCATTTGATGGAGCACACAGGGACTCTGCTGTCAAACTGCACTGGGGAGATGCTGCCCGGGTCTGAGCCCACCACTGGATGCCCAGCGCTCCCTCCAGGGCTCACAGCCGCACACATCACTGCTGTCCCTGCAGATGGCTGCTGCAGGACACAGGTGCTGTGCAAATGCTGCGAGCCACGCTTGGGGCTGCCCAGCTCCCTCAGACGGAGCGGGAGCAGAGCCACAGCACGGCCGG